TGGGACAGAAGTCTATATTAGACAAAAATAATAGAAAGTGATTGGTGCGTTATTACATATATATATATATATATATATATATATATATATATATATATATATAAATTATATTTCCAACATATATGTAGAACAGTTTATATGGTCTAGCTGACGACGTTCCGTGTGTAAATAAAATTTCCATTGCCTTACAGCTACGCGAAATCCCACTAACTCATCAGTAGACTATTCTTGCGCGGATCGTATCTAACGAACTCATCATAAACCATGTATCTCGTGTGGATTATGCTAGAGACAGAAGCTTCATGAAATGCATAATTGTCCACTGTTTTATCACGACTGGGGATAGAATCCCAAAGTGCACGTTACAATTGTAGGAAGGAGTTGTCCTCCTATGAAGTTAAATAAGGAGATAAATTAAATCCATGCACTGGTTAGCTGACGTTATACATATACAGACAGGAAGTATTGAGTTTGTTCAGAGACATTTTTTAATCTCTTGTGATCCAACATTCCTTTGAGCAGTACCCATGATAAGCACTTCATAGATATTAGGTCCTGTCAGCTACAACATAAGCTCACTAGCTTGAAGTAAATTTTCATAGGTCGGTTCCAAAGGCCGTTTGCCAATTACGCACGCACGTGAAAGGCATTAACAAACTCTGGCGCTCGTGAGATCACATGTTCAAACTCAGCCTGTGATAAATACCCATCGCTGTCGATGTCTCCCTCGTCTAAAACTTTTTCGACAACCACTTTTATCTCATCTGTAGTAAGCTGATCTTGTGTCAGAGCTGCAGCAGCCATTGCGATATCTTGCGGTCCTAGTTTGCCATCACCATCATAATCGTATATGACAAAAGCGAATTTGGCTTTCAGTTCTCGCGGGGCTCCTTCACTAAGCACAGACATCATGTACAAGAAGTCCTCGAAACAAAGATTCCCCGTGCCATCCTCGGAGAAAACGCGGAGTAGTCGTTCCCTAAACGGATTTTCACGAAACTCATTCATTTTTAGCAATCTCTCGCAAGGTACCTTGACCTCGCGAGCCTCGTCTCCGAGCATTGTCTTGGGCACAAGTTGAGGGTCGAGGTCACGAAACTTCTTGTGTAGCATTAAGATCTCCTTTCGTGTAAAGAACGTGCTATCCTGTAGGTCTTCCAGCTGTTCCTCAGTGAACGTACTAGCCTTGTTACCCATACTACATTCTTCTTCTGCAGCCCCTAGCAGAAAACACCTATGAAATATATTTAACAGATACTCAATGCACGTACCACGTTCCTTGTCAGCTCAGTCGAGCTCATCCTGCGCATTACGGAAGCTGACTGTCTCACAGCTCAGCACTGTAGTGACCCCCGCCCCGATCGCTCCGTATTAACGTCCTTGCGGGTCGACATCCGGAAAGGGAGACACCATCGAAGGTTCGTGGCTACCCATCGACCCTTTTACATACCATGCCCATAGGTCCTGTACCTAAAGAAACTTCTTGTTAAAGGAGTCTGTTTTGCCGAGCCTTCGCAAATGGGTGGAGTCCATCCCTCAGCTCATCTCGATACTTGACCTCCCCTGCCCAACCAGGTGCCCCACTCGAAGCCTTGTTTCCCTGCAGCACAACAGAATATACTCTGATATGCAATGTAGCGCTTGTGGCGTAGAACTTTAACCACAAGCCCATTATGTTAGTACGTCATACACGTCATACCAGATAAACCCTACATTTTTAGTAGGTAGGGCAGGTCGAGGGAATAATATTTAATTGGCATAGAAAAATGCTCGTACCGCATTCACCTATAATTTCAATGCAAAAGGACCTGTTTTATGTTCCGGGAATAAAGAAAAAAGTAAGTTTTCATTTTTAAATTCCCTGATAATTCTTTGTGCATCAAATGATAAAAATAATACGTAACAATTGCTAGATTAATCGTCAACGTCAGAAACAAACAAGCCTTATATATAACAAAGAGAAATTATCATCAGCCTTTAGATGAGCAGGCCAATAACCTAATAATATCTGTCCCAAGAGACCTGATTGAAATAAAAGGTGTGGTAGTGCGGGCCGTTCTACAAGGACTGTTTTGCTTTTGGTAATCTATAGGTAACGCGACTACATAGACGCGCGTATGGCGCATGTGCAGCCTTCACCCCGAATCGAGAAATAATATAAAAAAACAATGAATTTTTTTCATTTCATAATTGTCATCATGATGAACTGTGAGCATCCTGCTAAAAAAAAAAAGCTTTGTGTAGCAGTGTTTGTTGTCAAATTGCTGATATGGTCGGCGACGTATCGCAGCCTTTTCACACTTTTCATTCATAATAAATGACGATTACTGTTTTCATCAGGAATAGACTCGATGGATACCTGAGGATACTCAGATAAACTGCTTAGATATTTTTAATTTTTGGTCATTTTAATATCGCCACCCGCAGTAAATAACATTCAGAGCCCTCGCTATCCCAGGACGATTTAACAGTTGTACATGGTTGAAGAACTATTGTACTTAGCTTATAGTAGGCGTAGAGCTGCTAAAAAGAGAGGCGGGACAGAGCGTCTAAACAAAAGCGTTGTTTTGGCTCCTCTATATAGTAGATGGCGAGCATATAGTCTGCCAAAAGCTGTTTGTTGCTTAGTTGAAATAAATCGGTATATACATTTGATGATCTAGCACTGTATCTGAAAGCCGGAACAAATACAAGATTGCTATAGTTGGACATAAATTTTACGCGACAAATCAAAATCATACGGAGTGTTTCTCAACACACGTTCACGATAAACCTATATCTACAAGTTATTCGTTATCAATATTATTTCTAGGTCTGTTGAGTCGTCAAAGGCACGGCCTAGAGCGCCTACAAAATGCGCCTTCTGTTAATAATAGTAATAATAAAAATAAATACTAAAGAATTCATATACGCAGCGTATTCCTTATGATCCTCTCTACCTTCTTCATTACTATCTGTACTATTTTTCCGTAGACAATAACAATAGATTTGGAGACTCTGGCCTTTGAGATATCACAATAACTATAGTGTTAGTGTTAAAAATCCACTACTTATGTTGTTATTATATTATTTAATAAATAAAGTACTTCATCCCAGTAATTACAATAGCCCAATAATTGATTTGTACCTCTATCATTAATCGCTTCCGCATTGGGCCGAGGTTAGCGTGCCGTCATGCTATCATCGCTTAGGCGCTAGCATCTTTTACTTCCCAAGGTAACAAAGACCAGCCTAAATCAAGCATAAACCCAAAATGTAACAAGCTAAAAAGCTAATCATGACGATTTTACGAACGTATGAATACCACCAGCAGAGATGTCTTTTAGTCGAGCAACAACTTATCCGAAGAAATCCTTAGGACTTTTTTTTGCTACAAGTCCTAACAATATATATATATATATATATATATGCCTTTTGTTACTTTGAACAAGGTTCCATAGGTAACACCATCTTGCTAAACATACTAGAAGTACACTCTCCCTGCGTCTACGATTAACGTCCGCGTGCAGGATTTCGCAGCAGAAGGGACAAAAGTAAGACAGCGATATAAAACCGCTTACCAGATGGCAGCACCAGCGACGTAGAATGCAAGCGAAGATCGAATATGTCGGCCTTAATAAAGAGGTTTGTTCCGAATAATATTAAGTAAGGACTATACAAAATAAGGAAACGAACGCAGCGATCAATTAGCAATTGCGTGATTAAGTAACAAAAAATAGAATAATTAATTTTAACACGGTTTGACATTTCGAAATTGTTAACGTGGTTGGCTAGTGCACTAGGCTAGGCACTCTATAAGGACCGTCCCAACATAATAATAGCTAGGAATATATATACACACGGCGTTGCTTAAATAAATACTATTCGTAGCAGTGTGGTGGAACCCTGTCACCGGGCATGTCGAGATGCGTGCGTCTGTGAATCAGCAAGCACGATCCTAGCCGAGGACCAATTCCGATTCGAGTAACTGGAGCAGGAGTCGCAGCGATATTCCAAACAATTGCATGACACCACTACAGCAAATTTGCCAGCCGTTATCTCACCTCCGTATACCTGCAGTACTGGCAAAAGTTGGTAAAGAGTACGAATGGCTTTGAGTCTCATATTGGGACACATTGGCCGAGTATCGAGGCCCGTCACAGTAATGCTAGATGCTTCCGTTACTATCGCTCTATACGTATATATGACGTATCGCTTAGATACGTATAATCTGCACCGATGCTAGCGTATTTTGTCACGGCACAAGTTTTTGGCACAAATTATATTACTGAACTGTTAGAAAGAATTGTTGTAAAATATGATAAATTATAAAAATAATGTTCCGAATCTGCGAGCTCAGTCCAGCCCTAGGTTTATATCGTCATGATAGTGGACCAATCGGAGCGTCGAGTTCAGTTTATGGGAGCTCAGCACAGGATTACAGGTTAACGATGAGCCATATCATATGTACGTCCTACTAGCCTGTTGAAGCTACATGTCGATCTTTTACGTGTGCCGTGTCGATGGCAGACTGTACAGCTCTTGTTGACCTGCTGATCTATTGAGCGTGGCCAACAAACACGATCCTCAGTTATTTTTCCACAGGTCTACGAAACTTTTCTAGCCTTAAAAGTAAAACATGAATATACTTGAAGTTCAGGTTGGAAATTTGCAATCTGCCACCCAAATTCACTGATGAGAGTAACTTTATGTTTAGAAATTATATGAACTATGTATGAATTTATTTTGAACACCTGATTGCTGAACGTTGACGCATGATCACACGTTTAGCATACGTTCATAGTTAAATGCTTCGGTACGTTTGAGCGCAGAACAGGGTGGTTGAAAAAGAACACGGAAGACAAGCATACATCAATCAGTAGCCCTTTTATGTAAATTATCTCTGTTTCATTAGGGGCTCCTAACATTATCCCTCGAGTGAAAGCTGCCTATTGGGACTTTTCGGTTCGAGTTTTATAGCGGCTCATAAAGTTTGACCTGGCGGCATCGCCGCCGTTTGACCTCGGCAAATTTATAGGCTGAATATCTTTTCGGAGACACTCTTGCTATGCATTACAATTTATAGTATATCTAAGAAATCTGGCTTTGGAGGCTACGATGATGTTATTATTGAACTGTTAAGCTAGTGTATTGTAATAAGAGATTCCTAGTCTTGGTGAAAGCTTTGTAAGAGAAGAAGAAGAAGAAAATCGCTTATATAAAACGATTTTCTGACAAGGAAACTGATTTGCCAAGAAATTGCCTACCCTAAAGTAGGCAGGATAAGAGGATAAACAGAGTACCCCAAAAAAATGCCTACATTTTTCCTGAAAGTACGAGGCTCCTGGCTTAAAGGACGATATTACCGACATTTTTTCGAAAAACTTGAAAATAATTTCTTTAGATTTTTATAATTATTACATATATTTTTTTTTAGCATAGGTCAGGTTATTAAATTGTTTACCTTTATTCGTAGACTTCATTGACTTAGTTTGTTGAATTTACCATTGGGACCGCGTTTGGTGCAACTAGTGGAACCCTTTAGAAACAATGCCCTTTCCCTTTTGTGAACTTCTGCATAATGTAAAAGACAGAATTCAGCTGTTGAGGTTGTAGCTGTGCCAGGAAGCGATAAATACATATTGTTTTTTTTATTTTTGAATTTAATTGATCAATTGTAGTAATCGGGGTTCACAAAAAAATGATGGGTAGACTATATCTCGATAAGATAATAATGACAATATCTACGAATTGACATTGTGAACACATTTATTCATACGTATTTATATACAAGTTTACATCTCCATTACTAAGCTAGCTTGCGAGTGAATCGACCAACAATCTACTAAACAAAAATGAAATGTTTACCCCATTTTTGAACAGCTTTCATTCGATAACCGCATCCTTCCATTCATACGTTTGCAAGGAAAAATATTTACATAGAAAACATGGACTACGACGCAGCGTTCGATAAACGAGTATCTCATCTTAGTGGGTGCCGTCAACTGAAGAGATATGAAAACGACTGGTTTGAGGTAGTTTGCTTGCTTCGAAGAAGGTAAGGTTTTACTGGGTCTCATTGAAAGGCAGTGAAGATGCAATTTGTGAATACTGGACCTCTGACCAGTTTCTGTTGTGCTGATTTAGCAAGGATTTTTTGCCACATAAAATCGTTCGTTCCAGCGCGTCAGTTACTCGTTATTCTCGAACTGTTAATTAACTGCGTACGAAACAAAAAACACGCCACATATACAAACATATACATATCGAAATAACAGTACAGAGTTAGGTTTCAACAGACAGCAGCAGCACAAAATGACAGTGCGGTATAGATTATATAATATCAAAGTAATAACATGAATTCAAACATCACAAGACTGCTGCTGTTTTTCAATACATTGACGTGACAGGCTAAGACACACAATAATGACACGTAGAGCCAACAACAACAACAACAACAACAACAACAACAACAACGGCAACAACTTGACTTGACTTGAAGCACAAACACTGATGCACAAGCAGACACTAAAAGCGAAAAATACACTATGCAGACCTGAACATGCATGCCTAGGTTGCAAGAATCTTTAGCAAGGTCATGGATCGAAGCCTTGCCTAGATTTATGAAAGAGTGCTATCCCGAAGCCAACGCTAGTTGTGCATTGTACCGTAGGATAGCCTTCCACGTTGTCGTTAAAGGTGGCTTCTAAACTTTAACCGACCGAAAGCTTTGTCGTCAGCGTGATCGGCGACGGGCGACATTGCAATTTCGTTAGAGTTTGATTGTCTCCTTTTTGTAGGGCCGGTTGGGTCCTAGTACCCATACCCCCTACAATAGGTAACCTTGTTTCAGGTGTGATAAAAACCGATTTCTACTTTTGTATTTATTCTTGCATGAAACTGCATGAAAACACCCACGGCGTGACTATTAAATATAAGTTGACGTACCAAATAGAACGAGGATAATTAGAATTGTCGCATCATAGCTTCTCAGAAAAGGTAAGCTTACTAATCAGTACATTAGAGTAATTTCTACCATCTTAAAAGGCATTACTTTTGCCGCCGTGGGCAATCTTAGACGTAAGTGCTGAACTCCTCTTTTTATACGATCGTACTGAAGGCCTTTTTACAGGACCCCGTTTCCACTCATGGGATTCTTGTGGCCCAGTGGAGTCTGTTTTTTTTTCTATTTTTAACGATCTTAACAACAAACCGCAAACTACAATTGTGTAATATTACGGCAAGCCCGCAATACAAAAAAGAAGGTCTTCATTAGCGATAGATGATGCATTAAGGTCCTTCTAAAGTATGTCCGATTCTCTATTAGCACCTCGGTAGTGTGCGAGGCCTAATACGTGTAACCTTCTTCGAACCTTACAACGGTATAAGAACTAAGGTATAGAAGTAGATATTCCATGAAGTTCAAATGTTGTAGGCGTGACCCAAGTACTGATATATATAGATATATATATATATATATATATATATATGGTATTTTTTGCAGACTCTCAGTGATAGACAATAAACCATATATAGTTGGACAACTAGATAATAAGTGGACAAAGAAAATCTTGAATATTTAGTTTTGATTGCCTAGTCTGCGACTGTAAATACGTACGAGTACTTCTGTAACCCTTTAATAACGGTTTTGAGAGCTGAAGTTCCTGAGCTGTTATAAAAATCTTCTCTGTGGTTTTCAGAATAACTAGTCAGGCCATAGGTCGCAACTCTGATTAAAACAAATAATAGCCCATCACTTAAGGTTTGAAAATATGAGTTTGAATATTCCGTCAAATACTGTTAGGCCCTTCAATATCGTAAATCGTCATTTTGGGTGCCTCAGCGTTTACCGCTAGGGACCGCCACTGGCCGGGGTTGGTGGGACTGTCTGCTGCTGACCAAGTAAAAGGGAAATCATGTGATACATGTTCCTCTTCTGTTTCGGAAGTTCCTGCGAACAGCCGCCGCTTCTAGAATCGTTCTCTTCCAGACGTTGTTGGCTCTCATCTGCTAAATACAATGAGAAAGTGTAAAAACAGGTGTCATGCAACTTCCTGTCACTTTGAGGCGTGTCACATAATCAGCAGTGATAAGTTCTTTCCTGTAAAGCTAGCTATTACGATCTAGCAGGTGAATGATAATATATTATTATTGTTACAGAATTACATGTCCGACACAGCTTGGGTCCTTTTATGGTATACAAGCACAGTATATGTTATGTAAAAATTGAACTATTTGACAGTTAGGTAAGAATTAATTCGCATTACCCAAAGGCTCTGTGCACTAAGCATCGATAGGTCAACATTCGCTTACCGCGCAACGCTTGGCTGTTATGCATCTTATTTCTCGCTTTGTCGTTCTTTGAAATAGGCGACGTACGGCCTTCCAGAAATTTCTGCCGAAGGGCCGATTTCACTTTCAGGGTCAAATCATTCGCCGCTGTCGCTGAAAGAGCGCACAAAGAAGTACAATAATAAATTGTCAGTGAGACATCCACAAAGGCCTGGGATACGCGTTTCTGCTAGCCAAATTGATTTGCCAAATCTAATAAATCATAGTTGAGATTAAAAATGGCCAAAAGCACGTAGCTCTAATTCACTTCATAAGGGATGCATTTAAGTGCAGGATAGGTACGAAGAATAAACATCACTGAGGAAACGTCCACAATGGCTGTTAGCTTGTTTTATAGAAGTGAAGAGACGAGGTGTTGCCGTAATGGCTTTGACAGGTCCACTGCGATTACTTTCCTTTACATTTTAAGCAGAACTGATAAAAATGCATCTTGATTTATTTTTCGGTATTGACTGAACGAAGCTGTTTTGAAGATTTCTTTTCCGTGATCAAGTGTACATTTAGGCAGATCAAATGGAACTCTGCGCTACGCTGGACGCTATAACTGAATGAATTGAAGAAGGTTGTTGGGTGCCTACTCTAGGCCGAGTCCGGAGCCTTATAGCGAGTCTGGCCGGGCCCTGGCTTAGTGACGAACTTAACGGTAACGCTTTATTTAAATGTTTACGTCCCCTCTATAAACAAACGTACACCTTCCTTGACATCGGCTTATAACGCAGTCGTTGTTGCGTTATGTTGTGTGTGGACCAATACGTAAAAAGTTATATCTGGTCTAATGTTTTACCTTGAAGCAATGATAAAGCAAGAACAAAGGGAATTAAATAAAATTAAGTATGGATAATAATAGAACATTCAAACCTGTGACAAAAAAAAGTTCAGTAACCCATTGTTGCCGAAGGCAAAAGATCGGTAAACATTCACTTCAAACGAAGACTGGTAATACAATTTATACAATAAACATTTACGAGCTAATGTCTTGCCAAATTCAAGACACTTTGGTAGGTTACAATCTTGTGCTATCCATTCACCGGCCACTTTTGTTTCTACATCGCCAATTCTTCCTAAAACAGAACTATTGTTCTACTGCGGTGAAAATCGAAAAAATAACATATAGTTTCCGCCGTTTTAGCGGAAACAAGCAATATCTTCGCACTGTACAAACACCTAGCAAGACAGAAAAATGTTTATTTTTGGTCGAAATCAATAGTTACGTTATTGTCAGTTTTCATGCGGCTTCTGATAAATCTAAGGAGGTTTTCCATGAAATAAAGCAGAAGATCCGCTGTATGTTTTGCATCTGAAGGGCCCAAAGAGTCAAACATCAAATCAAATCAAAACAAAAAACAGCCATTTGGCTGAAGACGCCTGGACGTGGTGTAAATATCAATTCGGTGGTCCAAATAGGCTCCACCGATTAATTTCTTCGATACATTTAGCACTCTTTGAAAAATGATGGCTTTGGTCTGCCACCATCCATTAATTAAATTTCGTTGGAATTTTTCATGTGTAGCGTATCTAAACGGTGTCTTAGCAAGTTTCTACCTACCAATGCACTTGTTTCTTACGGACTGAAAAAGGAATATTAACTTACATAAAATCAATTTATAAGTGTTTAGGTCCTGCACTATAGATATAATCGTAGTAACATTGAATAAATCTGACCGAGAGAAATGTCGCTACATAAGCTGTTTCATTGAATTGTCTTTTCTTTTTATTTAAGAATAGTATTAAAAGCAATATGTAAGAGGAAGTCCCAACTCGAGTGCCGTACCAAGTACGCTATTTCTTATTACTTCTCTGTCTAGATTAGCCTGCGCGCCTGCCTGCCTGCCGCGTACCGTTTTTATTAGGAGGTGGTGAACCTTCACGGAGAGTCGTAACGGGTGGAGACTCGCTCTCGCTTCCGACATGAGATGAAGTGCTACTCCCTTCAGATGACGACGATGCTTGCCGGTCTCTTTGACTAACAGAGGATCCTTTGGTACTCGTGCCCTGTATGGATTCCTCGGAAGACCAAACGCTGGCTCGCTGCTCTTGTCGTCGTGCCAGGAATTGTTGTAGTTTTAAACGAACTTCTGCGGATGCGCCGCTTGGCGACGACCTTTCACAAGTGGACAGTTTTACACAAAAATATATAATGAAATTAGTGTCAAGAAATAACTAAAACTACCTATCTGCTGGGCAAGCCGTATTCTGATTCGATAGCTCATAATCGACGTCATGATGACAACACTTATGCTTGCTTTAATTTTTAATCTTGTTTTTACCTTTTCGCCTTTTTTCTTTTATGATTTATGGTTCATGGCATTATAGGTCTACTGAAAAACAACTAAAAATAACCAACAACGCAAACCTTTTCATACCTCCGGGGGGGCACTCCACCTATGCGTTTAGAGGCATATATGGCGCTTGTCAAAAAAAAAATATCGTAACTTCACGCATATTAAGTCATTCAAAGTGAAACGTGAGACAATAAAACTTTTGAACTTTTTTCGCGAACGTAATTTTTTCGATTCTCAGTAGAATAATGGACCGTTATAGTCTACGACCCTCTGCCATTTGGGTGGTAACTTGAACATTGCGCTGTTGTAGAGTTGTGGAAGACGAGAGACGAAATTCGACATCGTGTTGGGATTTGAATAATTTTCCTATTAAAAAGTTGTCGAAACATTGAAAAGAAATTGTAATCTGTGGCAGCAATGTTTGGTGAGCATTCTGGATGACTGGAAACATCCAACTGTAACTCTTGCGTTTTTGCCATCGTGATCCTTGCGGCATAAGATCGGGTGTTATTGTGCAATAGAAGTAAGTTACCTCTGTTCACTACTCTTGGCTGCTTGATGCGGAACTAGTTTGTCATCTCCTCTGATTGTTGACAGTACAGTGCAGACGTAATCGATGAACCAGGACACATGAAGCTGTAGTAGATAGCACCTGCACTAGACCACCAATCAGACATCATGAGCTTTTATAATGTACATTTACGTTACGGTGATGTTCCGCTGGTTCAAATGCGTCCACCCGCTAATGTGATTATTTGCGACTATCGTAGAAGATTAATTTTGTATCACAGGTCACAATCCGATATCAGGATGGGTACTCATTGTAGCGTAACAGTAAATGAGCGTCTCCGTGCACTCATCTCTGATCCTCGCCTGAATCGTGCGAGACTTATTCGTTCACTTTTCACCTTATAAATTTAACCAAAACGAACAAGGCTTATTTTCCAGTTTGAACTTTTTTTTAATTAACGTCTAATAATGTTTTTAGTAGTAGCTTCTTTACCGAGAGAGTGTTTTTAGGATAGACGAACTGTCTTCGTTGCCACAGTTGCAAAATAAAAAACTACTTTTAAATCACTCGAATTTCCTGATCTTTTATGGTATACAGCAAGTCGCCTGTTAAAACACGAGTGGATGGTTTTAGAGTTCAAAAAGTAGAAGAGCCTCATAAAGACATCGCATTGTACGAAAAATAATGGTATTTTGAAGATACGAGATTAGAATTTCTCGCGTTTCGTATTGAACGCGGTATATTGGGCGGTCGAGCTATTTAACAACTGAAAAAAACCTAAATTATATTTAAACAATTACAACGGAGGACAGCAATATATTTGGTATATGTGAGGTTAATTCCTTCTTGTTGTTGTTTCCGCCAGTGTTCTTTTTTATAACTGTGACCTCCAAATTTGCACTAATATACCTTATCCCATTGTTATCCCATATTATGCTTGATAGAATCGACAATAGGCTACGTTACGCCACCTATAAATCATCTAAGTAACTACAATCACAGGGGCATAACTCTAGAGAACACAACGGCTGAAGCCATTTGACGATTCTGGCGTAACAATTAGGGGGTGCATTATCGACAGACATTAGGGAGGTCATTTAAAGACTCGCGATGTCTGGCGGTATTGACTGTTTCATTTTCAAGCTATATTCCATTATAGAAAATGCTTTTGATATACAATGCGAGCATCAGCTTATGTCGGAATCTATTCGGCACTACTGCTGAAATGTTTTTCTCTGCTGTTCGATACCATTCTCTCGTCTGACTCTTTTCTGGTAGGCAGCACAGAGTGACCCATGTCTCTTTTATGGCAACGGCGTGTTCTGTGTAGGTTTTTCGCTGGTAATCCTTGTGCAAGCTATTTCGGGAATACACCGCACGTGTTTACGCTTGTGTTTAACTTAGATCATAAAACAAAATTTTCGCTTCTGCTCCCCATCTTAAGGGTTCTTATTACCTGCTTCATCGAACCCCTTATTGAGCCAATGAGCAACGCATTGCCTTCATAATCTAATTTACTCAAGAGCGTTCTTTGCACAGCAGCTTGCTCTGCGACTTAAGTTATTGAGGTAAAGTTATCTCCTTCGTGGTCTTTAACGCTCCCCAGACGTCGTTCTCACAGAAATTCTGTTATCTTTTCTGAAAGCACTGTTCGCTAGTGTTTTCACTAATTGATAGGTACAATTAGTGTTCTTATTTTTGAAATCAAGGGACTTGATCATTCAGCATTCATTTTTAGCGTTAAGCGACGTCTTTGCTTTTTTTACTTAGTGTGCGTTAATAATACTCAAGCAAGATTTGACGTAAAGCATTTCGTCTACTAATAGTACATAAAGTTATTTAAAATGTTCGACTTGCTAAATAGCTCCAAAAAACTAGTATATATATATATATATACACGGTAGATAATTTTTTTTCTAAACGGGGAGTGTGTAATTGTACTTGTTCTAGTGAATAATTTTTTAAATTATTATTTTTTAAATTATTACTTGAACATCAAATATATTGAACATTTAGAGAGTAGCGAAGGAACAGAATGAAATATTGTACTGTAAATGTTGTGCAGCTTCATATTGAAAGCTACACGAGCCGTACGGTCGAATTCTAAGTACATTAGCGGAAAACTGCACGCCCCATATGAGTTCCATCAGAGACCAAACAGATCTCCATCGTATCAATTTTCTGGCCACACAGAGCAGCGAGGGTAGGGAGGGTAGGTTAACGCTACCTATTCTGAAGATCTTGGTTTTTATTAGGTGTAAAACAGGAACATTTGTCACTATGGTGGCCTGCTACAGACTTGGTTATCTCTTAGCCGGCTGCAGGACATTGTAAGTTAACCTCTTTGATTTTTCAATAAATGAATTTCAATTTGGGCGCATTAGTGGTAGCATCTATGACAGAACTCACGGCGTTTGGCTTCATTAACCTTCGCTTGGTCACAGAAGGGAAAATGTACCAATGAAAAAATACGTATGATTTTTAGCGCGGTTATTTGCACACTGGAAACAGGTGCTGGAACGAACGTTCACTACAACCTTTCTCCACTACAAATGCTGACAGAACATAAGGGGCGGCAAGGTTCGCCTACGACAACCCCCTAAAGTAGTCAGTCCACCGTTGTCGGTAGCACGTCAGTTTAGACTGGCATATAGTTATTATGTTCTTCCAAATTTCACTATAGCACGTATTTACTGCATGTCCGCTAACATATTTTGGCATAAAAAAGCTGGTTTAAAGTGCAAAATAAACATTCGAAGTTTATTGACATCTCGGCCGGGTAAAAATATTTCACATAAGTAGTATATTACAATATAATATAACTGAGACGGTTTATCTAAAAGGCTAGAAAACGAGTGAAGCTCTCCTGCTGCATAGCATCAGAACAGCATGCCGCTATGATTGGCATGAAAAAGTAACTAAGAAAACAAAGCAAGCAAATTATTAAAAGTATACATTTTTTGTACGCACTTTTTAGGCGACGAGGGCAATCCGGGCGATCTATTGGGCACTGGTGGCGATGCAGCCGGCGGTGTAGCGGCAGCGGACTCTCGTGCGAGCCGAAGTTTTTCCTCTTCCTCTAATTTTCGTAGAACATCTTTTTTCGGACATTTGATTACAGGAGGGGAGGGGGTGCCCATATCAGGGGCTTCTTTGTCATTTAATTCTTGACCTCTCTGTGTATTACTGACGTCCTTATCACTGCCATTGCCCGAGTCACGATCTTCATCACTATGAGATGAATTGTCACTACGAAGTCTCTGACTTTCCATGTAAAGCTGTCAGAAATACATTGAGCTATGTTAATTCTAGAGCTGAAGCAAAATCGTTTCATAACGAACATCGAGCGGAATCCTCAATGCTTTCGAACAGCAGTGCTGGTGTCCTTTCACACAGTTTCTCATTACAGCGAGATCATTCAATGGCCGCTGAAGATCCGTAAAGCACTGTAGCGGTAACGCCAAGACTATGGAGTCCCAGCGTCCCCGATTCGTACCCAGGGGCATACATACATACATGCATGCTTCTTTCACTCAAACGTACTACTTTTATACTTTTCCGCTACGTTCTCTGTTATCGTGAACATGTTAGTTAATATATAGTAGTATCAGAGCAAGCAATTCTATTTAACTAGAAACTAACTCGATTCTTTTGATCCATGGACCTAGTTTCAATATGTAAACATAGCAAACCAAGATAGATAGGTTTCGATTAGTAGATGTGAAGTCCTACTTATTGTCGCAACGAAATTAGACTAGAGGTAATAGGGACAGATTGAATTACTTTGAGGTGTTCCTTGTCGTTGTGTTCATGAGACAAAATAGGCAATCAAAACAACTGACGCACCCTTATCCTATCGGCAAGTTGTTGGTCGTGTTGTTGTTGAAGATGCTTTTGCTGTAATTGAAAATGCTGGAGAAGTATTTGCTGCTGGAGATGCTGTTCATGTTGAAGTGCTAAAATTTGTCTCTGTAGCTCCAACTGAACGGCGCTAACCTCTTCGCGTAGCGCGGGATCCGATACCAGCGATTCATGCGAGAGCTCGTTCGTTCGCATAGACAGTGAAAGTGACGCAGGAAGCGAACTGTCCGCCACAGCTGCCGATGGCGGGTCTCCTGAAATGACGAGCGGCGCAGTATTGCATGTCGACACATTTGTATCTATGGGTTTCATTGTAGCATAGAAACTAACCGTTTTCTTTCCCAAGCGTAGCGCCTAATGCACAGGTCTTCAGCATCAGCAAGATCACTTTAACCGGAATATGTTTTTCAACTAGTTCGATTCAAAAACTGGTCTGTTCTCGAATTCTGTAAGGCGGCGCTCAAATTCACCCAAATGGTATGATTCAGCGACGTCCTGCAAGCACTAATTAAGCCGTAATTAAATGCTTGAGCTACATATTGCTTGGCGACGTGTTTGTTTGGGGAACTTTGGGTGATGCGTCGGCCTCGGCCAAGTTTTTTCTCTTCCGCATATATCCTTTCGTTTTCTTGAACCCCTCAACAGCTCGACGTGCTTCCCTAAACCGTTTGTAGGTGGTGGCCAAAGGCTAAATGGAACGGATGTCCGTCAAGGTAAGGTAATGCGCATTTAACTTACTAAACACTAAAACACGATACATTATTGTATCGTGACAAGCTGCTTAATTTGCATGAAGTTCTTATAACGAAGAACATATTTCCAACAGAATTTTTGTGTAACATCTAAATCGTTTACACGGCCACGGACACTGCTGTCTAGCCAGCAAAAAGCGCACGCGTGTCTGCAGTGGCCCTTGCAAAAGTGATTCAAGCAACCAATACGTAAAGTTCAGTCATGAATTTCATAGAAGCACTCACTTGGACCGCAGCCAGTGAGTGACCATGGCACTTAAACGCCACTGTTATTTATGATCCATGAGACCTTTCTATCTATAGGAAGGTTATTCGTTCAAAAATACGCTCTGCAAGTACAGGTACCGCTGTTAGGTAATGTAGGCATTGTTTGCAAGATCTGTAGAGTTTTCAAGCGAAATTTCTCCAGCTGAGCTGTGGTCGGTGTCCTCCTTGAAAAGTGCCGGGATCCTCAATTGAGACGCCTCTTTCATTTAGACGAGGCTTTTCGCATACGCCTAATGTTCATTTTCAAAATGTAGCCTGTTTCTATGCGGCGCCAAAGGTTAATTAGCGCAAAACTTTTCGTTCAGATTGTCAATCTGATGCGAATTCTGGCTTACCGGGAAATCTGTGAAACATTACATTGGAGGCTTGCCGTTAGTGGAACCATTGTATTTCTATTAGCTTGTTCGTTTTAGTCATTATCTCGACGCTGTGTCTTGTCTCAAGCGAGGAAGAGAGAAGCTATGCTACGTTCGTTCGCGTTGATCATCATCTGTGGACGTCATTCAGCGGCTATGTCGTTCTACATCTGTCACGGCCAGATTAATGGCTTGTAGACAGCATCATATACGAGTTCACGAATTTTTCTATCATTTTTTTTTCTCTGAACAGAACGTCATCTGTGCTAGAAAAAATACATCACGTTAACGCAAGTCTTGCAGTCGATTCTGTTTTGTGATTACTTTAGTACGGGACCCCAATAAATGCAGTTCTACAGCTGCTTTGCCAAAATTTTACTGTCTTAGTCCCTTTTAACCAAATTCTCGACTCTGTAATAAGCACGTGCAACGCTTAAGTGTGAACTTGAGGTATCATAGGTAACCTACATTTAGGTGGTAGGTATGTTTTCTCACAGATTGCCTTTATCTTGTTACATGACAAAGCTTTCGAGTTGATCTACATACTATGATCATAGACTGGCCTAAGTGTAACCGCAAACGTACTTGAAATTCAAATCTATAAAACTTAATAATGACAAATAAGAAATAAATAAATGAAGAATAGAACTTATGTCGCCCATACCAGCAGCATATATATGCACATACGCATTGAGAAAAGGTGACAACTTACACACGTACAATGTTACTATGTAAATCTTCACGAAATTATTGATATAAACAGAGTATTTACGCTGAGCCTTCCTTAAAGATACGTTGAGTGTACCCATTCTGTGACACACAAAAGCTTCCGTCCATGAGTAGGAATATTTTATCGTGGACATCACGCGTTCGGATAGATGTCCGCGGAACGAGGAGACTACCTGCTAGTATATGTACAATATTATGTTTAACATCTACATACTTTCATTCATTAAAACAGCTGGTGAAGCCCGTTCGTAGTTCAATGTATATGTCTTTGACTCACACAATAAGATTTTTTACCAGCAGCAGCAGCAGCAGCAGCAGCAGAATAGCAGTAGTAGCATTAGCTCGCCATTTCGCATATACACGTTATAAGCACGCTACGTTTCTGCATCTATATGGCAGAAGTGTCGATATTAACTTACTATGCTAGACTATATCAAAAAACTTTACACTATAGATTACTGTTCTGGTAATAATAGGTAATTATTCCGCACATTTATCAAAAACGTATCAATGTCCTCAAGGGAGTGGTAATTACTCTGTTTTTATGGTCTTAACATGAAAGGAATTGTGGCTAGCTATGTTATTTACTATGCTAAGTTGATTCGAAAGTTGCAAGCATAGTTACAAACTTGTATGTATTCAAACGGTTTTAGGCATTTTACTATCTACTCCGCTTATAAATCGACGTCCCATATTTAACCAAAATATTTTTAAAATCGAAGCCCTTCTAAGTAACCCAAAAAATAATAGCAACATGGGTGTAATCATTTTCCACGTAGAAAGATGTAGCGTAGTTACGTTTCGCTAGAAAAAAAATATCATTATATATCCTTCTTCTAAAAAAATATCATATTTATATATATATATATATATATATATATATATATATAAAACCAGTTTTCCGTGCCAAGAGTGATATTGCTCACTGAGAGACACCAAGTTGCCAATCTCAAGGAAGTAATAAATTGTATGGAAAACGCAACTTAGGATGAAATCGAGAAGCCTGTTGGTTGATTCCGCAAAGCGGGCGAACAGGGATTCAAAACCAAGTCAACGTAAATGAATGCTATATCTGTATATAGACACAATTATTTTCTGTATTATGTCTCGAAAAAGCTGTGATTCGTATATAACTGGATCGTTTAGGTGTTTGAAGCGCTAACCGTCGTATACATTGGCGTAAGATATGTGTAGCACATAAAATGCTTCGTAAACACTTAGACGATAATTTGCAAAATATTTTCGTACCTAGGATATATAAAACTGTTCGCCGTACATTCCTTTTTTTGAATTTGGTGGACCAATTAAGTTAAACCTGGATTTTAATCTACAATTTTCGCAAGTGTCTTCAGTCCATTCATTGATAGTGCTTTCACCTTCTTTTTCGTTGCCCTTCTACCGCCGGGAGACGGGGTACTGCAGAAATCAGTGGTTTCAGGCAGGCTTCTACACGATTTGAAACACAAAAATCATATACAGGTTTACAAACACGCTGATTACAAACATCTAGATAAGCATAGCTCAATACAGCAATATAAACAGAACAAAAAGAAAGAGGCACTTCTGAGATGCCATAGGAACATTCCTACCACCTCTTCCGTTTCGGCCGAAATCTACACCTAGTAAGTCAGACCCCATTTTGACCCGAGACTCGCTAGCAGAGGGCTCTGCATTAAAAATCGTACAGAAGCCTGACGGCCTTCTTCTGAGTAGAGAAGCATCGGTTCGAGTGGAAAATCAGAAGGGAAAGAGTTCCTTAACAGTTTAGACGTTCGACTAATCTCGCTCTTCAAGTTGGGCTTGGGATTGTCGATAAAAAACAGCACGCAAATCTGAGAAGAGGCTTAATGTGCTGTTCGTACGAATAGCTTTATTTCTTTAACACATTGCAGCGAATTTTGGAAAACCTGGAGTAAAAAGAAAAACGGCTTATCAATCGTTCGACACTACGAGTGGCTTTTGTAGTAGCACCTTTTTGTAGTAAGGCTCTATTCGATGCCGTTGACACTACACCCCTATCCAATGCACAATGTAACCGAGACAGAGAGAGAGAATAGCAAGAATGAACGTGCAATATAAGAAAGAAATAAGCCCAGTATCGCAGCTGACATGTCTCTGCCTTCTTCAGGTGCATGTCAAAGGCTGAAGTTAGTGTACAGGTACCCAAATCAGGATGAAACTTGAATTAATAAGGGAAATTGCGTCATTATACTCTACGTATGTTCTGTTAAGTGTTGAAGCTGTTGGAGAACGATTGATGTGCGGTTAGTAGTCCTTCGAAAACAATCTTTCTTCGAGGACAGAGTAATGCGCATGTTGTTGCACATTATCAATATCGTTGGTAGTGTATTTACATTTGCTTAAAAAAGTCGTGATCATCGACAGGATCACACAAATTGAATAGCGCAAGATCATTTTCGTCAAGTGGTGCTTTCCAACTACTGAGTCATTTCAGTAAAATAGGGTATCATAGACGTAATCAATCGCATTGTTGAGCAAAGAAGGAAGATAACGGCTCTAAAAGGGGTCGGGATCTGAGAGCATCTCATCCTTCATCTTTCTAATAAAGGGTCGGCTCTGCTGGCAAACTTGAATAGCCGATGAAGAGAAGCTAAGACATCTTTAAGTTACGATACTGATCCCTTGACGAATTGCTGCGATTCTCTGTTCGCGACAACGTCGCAAACAACAAATTTTCACTTGTTTTCCAGAGTAAGTAAAAAAAAAAAAAGTAAAAAGAGTTCCACTTGCTGAACTGTTTCTTTAGACGATTCTGATACGAGAATAGTAGCACATTGTTTAAAATATCATTCCGAGCGAAGGCTCTTAGTGCGTTTGGTGGCGAATGAATTATTCCAAAAAATGTACAAAAATTCTCACGTTCGTTTCGTCCACTAAGCAATCGCTGGGTCTGTTTGCAGTCTTTCGAAACTTCTGCCGAATCCATAAAAAAATCATGATTTTTGGTGGACATCTTTGCCAATTGGCCAGGCTATTGATCACCCACTTGGGACGTTGGGCACTGAATAAATCGTGTTGGCACTGAGAAGTGGGTAACATGGTTGGTCCGGCTCTTTCGATTCGAAGTGGTGCATTAACTGAAAATAGTCTATGTTCATTGACTTGTGCGCAAAGACATTGTTGCAGCGA